AATCTATTATATGGTCTCTGGTCTGACGGTATCGCTGCATGAGTCCGGTGACGGTGACGCGTAGACAGTCAAGGGTTCTTGCAACGTAGGTGTGGGAGGCTCCCATTTCGATCCTTCCGATCGCCCGTTCTCGTTGTCGCAAAGTTAATCGAGCCATTCTTTTGGTGATTTTTTCACAGAATGGATGTCTGACAACCCGTTTGCATTGGTTTAATATCTGTTTCGCATTTATTTTTTGCGTGAAAAACATGCAAACCATATTTGGACAAAATGGTTAAAAAGCATACCTTGCATGCCTTATTTCCAAGAGAAAAACTCATTTTTGCGTTGGGGCGATGTGTTTTCATGTGATGGTGATTGCAGCTGATTGCAGCTGAATAATTTCAGTTTCAAAGTGGTAACGTTTCTTTAGTCCGTCAGCTTATGTTTGTTGGATAATAAGTTCTTTTGGGGGATAAAACAGCTTTTTTTCATGTTTATTTATTTTCATTTACTTAAGTTCACCACATACAGGGTTCCGACACAGTTGCCTACATTAGTGGGTCTTTCAAGTGCATAGGATCTCATTACCTACCTTTGTTGAGTAACTGGATCAAAGATTTATCTGTTTCTGGTACCGGTTATTAATGAATTGTAAATTACCACGCTGATACCTCGTCAGTTGCAAACGAACTGCTGCATCGTTGAAACCGGTAACATTTCCAATATACTCAAACTGATTATTTCTAATTAATCACACCTACTGATCAAAAATCAATGACTGATTATTACAAATCAATCAAATTGAATATTAATGTAGGAGCGCGGGATAGTACTGACCGCCTGTGTTGATGATGTAGACCTGAGAAAGGATGGTGTATTGATTACCTGCCGACACACTGCCGCTGACACACTGACATGTACCCTGTGACATTCACGAATCGGTGTAATCTGTGTCATATTGCCGTGTCCTTGTACATTAATGTTTTTATAGGCGCCAACCAGCCTCTTCAGCCTGTACATAATGGAGCTAAAAGCTCTCGCCAATACATGGATTAATTTACTCCCAGTTTGTACTTTTATCTGTATAGTGCTTGAGGGTTAAATGTCATAGCTTTCTATATATGAACCGATATTAAAAATTGGTTCTTCATATATAGGTAAACCTCTCGCAAATGATTAAAACATCCTCGCTATATTTAACACATAAAACATACACAGGCAAATTTAAACAAACAAGTATAGTTCAGAAGATAGTTTTGTTCTTGCTTGTTAAATACGCGCATAATACATGAATAGACTTCAACAATTACCAAAGACAAACTACAGTGAGGCAACCTTTGACCAACATCGCTGCTCACCCCGCAGCATATTCCACCTCCTTGGGGGTGGGGTAGCTTAGTGGTTAAAGAGTTCGCTCGTGACGCCAATAAAGACCCGGGTTCGATTCCCCACATGGGTACACCGTGTGAAGCCCATTTCTGCTGTCCCCCGCCCTGATATTGTTGGAATGTTGCTAAAAGCGGCGTTAAGCCATACTCACTCACTCACTATTCCACATCCTCTACAGTTTTGTTTATTGGCAGCGTCGAAGAATTCTTGGTTAAATATACAGACAGACCTGGTATTACACTCGGTGCACATGAAGTATATGTAGGCAAAGTGACTGAATTACAATACATATATTCTTATGTAATTACGACAAGTTGTATACACAAGATTTGAAGGGTCGCTGGAACGTTCTGAACTACGAATGGTGTCTGTGATACAACCGTAAAACAAGGTCGTAAACCTGGTAATCTGAAACCGATGAATGAGGAATTTCGTAACCCAATCTAATATTTCTATTTCTAACAGTTTGCTGTTAAGACAAGAATATAAAAATATCAATCTATTAAGGACCATTATTATTTTTATTTTTTTCATGTTTTTATTCCCAGAATTATGTTTACAGACTTTACCTCAGTAGTACAGTACAGGTAGCTTCTTAGTATGCAAGTACAGTGTTTCTTTGATCTCATTGTCAAATAACATGCTGTTCACATATATGTAAAAAACGGTCAAAAACTAAGCATGTATATGAAGTGTTACATGTTTACAGATTTTACCTCGGTAGTACACAGTACAGTACAAATAGTTTCATTGTACACAAGTACAGTGTTTCCTTTGTCACTCACTGTAACATCATGCTGTTCACAAATATGCAAAATGGTCTAACTAAGCATGTACGTGAAGTATTACATGTTTACAGACTTTATCTCAGTAGTACAGTACAGTACAATACAGGTAACCTCATAGTACATAAATATGTAAAATGGTCAAACTAAGCATGTATATGAGTGTTACATGTTTACAGATTTTACCTCAGTAGTACAGTACAGTACAAGTGGCCTCCTAGTACACAAGTACAGTGTTTCCTTGATCATATTGTCCCATAACATGCTATTCCCAAATATGTAAAATGGTCACACTAAGCATGTATACGAGTGTTACATGTTAACAGATTTTACCTCAGTAGTACAGTACAGTACAAGTGGCCTCCTAGTACACAAGTACAGTGTTTCCTTAATCATATTGTCCCATAACATGCTATTCCCAAATATGTAAAATGGTCAAACTAAGCATGTATATCGAGTGTTACATGTTTACAGATTTTACCTCAGTAGTACAGTACAGTACAAGTGGCCTCATAGTACACAAGTACAGTGTTTCCTTGATCATATTGTCCCATAACATGCTATTCCCAAATATGTAAAATGGTCACACTAAGCATGTATACGAGTGTTACATGTTAACAGATTTTACCTCAGTAGTACAGTACAGTACAGTACAGTACAGTACAAGTGGCCTCCTAGTACACAAGTACAGTGTTTCCTTGATCATATTGTCCCATATCATGCTACATATTCCCAAATATGTAAAATGGTCGAACTAAGCATGTATATGGAGTGTTACATGTTTACAGATTTTACCTCAGTAGTACAGTACAGTACAAGTGGCCTCCTAGTACACAAGTACAGTGTTTCCTTGATCGTATTGTCCCATATCATGCATATTCCCAAATATGTAAAATGGTCGACACTAAGCATGTATACGAGTGTTACATGTTAACAGATTTTACCTCAGTAGTACAGTACAGTACAGTACAGTACAGTACAAGTGGCCTCCATAGTACACAAGTACAGTGTTTCCTTGATCATATTGTCCCATATCATGCTGACATATTCCCAAATATGTAAAATGGTCGAACTCAAGCATGTATATGGAGTGTTACATGTTAAACAGATTTTACCTCAGTAGTACAATGTACAGTGCAAGTGGCCTCCTAGATCGTACACAGTACAGTGTTTCACTTGATCGTATTGTCCCATATCATGCTACATATTCCCAAATATGTGGAAAATGGTCGAACTAAGCATGTATATGGAGTGTTACATGATGTTTACAGATTTTAGTTTCAGTAGTACAAGGTTACAGTCACGGGTATAGTGCACCCGTTACTCTTAGTACAGTACAATACTCTCCATGCTTACAGGCTGCATGGGAGTTATATACACACCCACAGGCATCACGGTATTTCTGCAGACATGAACGTGACTAGGCGGTCTCTGCTGATGAAAATGGACACAACTGGATAGCAAGTTGTCATGAAATATTTCCAGCTGGAAGGGCTGACTCCATCAGCTATCCACGCAGACATTGTGTCCACGTTGAAGGATCATAAGCGGAGTTCAAGAGGTTAAGACTGGGCCTCGAAGATGGTTCAAGTCAGGAAGAACTTCAACTGATACCACTACAGAAAATGTTGATAAAATGCGTGATTGGATAATGGATGATCACATAGGCAGTAGGCAGAACATTAGAAGGTATTAGCTGAACACGACAAAGGTTTCCGCTAGATGGTTCCAAGGCTTCTGACTCAAGTTCCAGAAACGCTCATCATCTCTCGTGAGAAGTTAGACCGTTTTGTGAAGTAGATCCAGGTGTTTTCTTTAACTATACTTGTAGCTGGGGTGAGCCTTTTGAATCTGATAAAGGCAATGTCTAATCGATCTGATAGCAATGAGATCAATAAGGACCATTATTATACTAATGTCTTCTAGAAACTGCGTTAGAAGATCAAGGTTAATCGTCGTGGAAACCTCACTAAATGTAGTGTGCCAACAGTGAGCAGTGCGCGAGTGCACAGACCTCTTGAGGCCATGGAATGCATGGCTAGTACTACTCATTGTACGTCCTGTTTACTCATCGGAATTGGCACCGTCAGATTTCCACAGCTTGACAAACTTGAAGAAGAACCGTCAAGTGTATTGCAAATGACGGTGACGTCGTTTCTGTGAAGGACTTTCATAATCTACATTGTAAATCACCAAGAGGACGCTGTGCATCATTGTGAGCCTCAACTTTTATATGTTGCTATGGGTTTTATTTAAAAATGCTTTCAATAGCATTAGTTGGCGTCTGGAAAAATATAAAAACAAATGTTCAAAAATACTTCACATACAATAGAATGTGACTACCTGCATCTCCCAGACGTCAGGGCCTAATAGCTACATAGCAAGCATACTGCGGAGGCCGCGTAAACACGCTTACTCACTCACTCACTCTAGACATCGACTCATGTGGAATTCCTGATGCAACTCAGCCGTTGTATTTCGCCATGCACGGCAAAACGTTTACACATAGAGTCTAGTATTAAGACAAATATAAGGAAAGTGGGTAAAAGGACTGATACGTAGCGGTCTCTGAATTTAAGAGAAAAATAGACACACATAGTATTAAACATAAAAATAATGATAAATACATTCTATGTGTATAGCGCCGGTTATATCTGAATTGAACAGTGGACATTGATAACAGCTTTCTCTCATATTAAATGAAAGTTTCATCTGGACAATTTTGTCTGCAAATAAGTAAGTAGTTAAGTCGGGTACAGAAGAAAACAATGCCACGCCCATGTGTACTGATGATAACAGACGAGAGTTACCCCCCTTGTGAGAACTGCGTAGAAGGTACAAAAGTTTCATCATGGCTTCCATGTGCAGATCTGTCGGTAACCTCTGCCGACAAAGTTATGGTTTACAGGTAAAGGAAATAATTACAAAATATTTCAGTACGTTCTATGTGGTCACAGTATTGATATGTGAATATGTTCAACTCATGTAGTCGTTGTACTGCTATGTTAATGCACCACGTCCTCTTCAGCTCTTATGCCATGTGTATTCTTGTGCTTGTAAATTCGTTATAGAAATAGCCTCAATAGTTATATAGCGGGGTACTTGTTTGCATGCGTTCCATATTTTTTTAATTTATAAATTGTGACAATTTTCGGGCATGATATGCATATCTAACAAGAGCACGTTCTGTCTTTGTTGTCAGTAACTTTGATTTCTAACCCTTTAACTGAAGGTCATAGGAATTGATCTGATAATCCTTGAGTTATGTAGCAGCTAGTGATTCCAGTAATTGAGGTAAAAAAAATTAAATTGTTTTGTTCTTGTGCCGTTTCAAGTGATTTGGGAGAACTGCACTTTACCACATTACCATTTTCAGATTCAGATTTGTGTCGTATGGTGGATTGAACCTTTGTTGCCAGATTGAAGCCGATTTCATTAATGAGTTAATGTAATTAGTACCACAGGGCCACTTGGTTCATTCACAGTGTTCGTGTAAGAAGCTTATGATCATGGGTTCACAAGGCCCGGTTCAGTCTTCCTTCCCAAAGTCAGCTGACATGCTGGATTGTAAAGAATACTGTTCAAAAGGTCGTTAGAACCAAATCTTGTGCTCACTCATTTATCATTTTCACCAGAATCAGCTGTTGACTTGCAGCACATAGATCCATTCTTTGTGTGTAGTCCATGTACCGAAGGAAACAAGAAAATGAACAATTGATACCATAATGACTAGGACTGGCAACCCACGGACCAAGTTATAACGTTAGTAATTTCAGTAAAAAAATTGTTTGCAGGTGTTGCTGAATCATAGTGGCCGGCCAACAGCTTCAAGATGCCCTTCCTATTTGGCATGTGTCCAGCAGAACAGCCCGTTGGATGTCAGGTTATCTCAGGTAGTCACTGTTACCATCATAAGCGAGAGACATACAAATATTAGACATCACACAAGAGCCCAACAAGATACAGCTGTACACACAAGAGCATGGCACAAACTATAGCCATATACACTCTCAAGTCCAACACAACCCTCCATTGATAGCAGTAAATGCATTAAGGAGTAAAGCAGGATGCAGTATGTAAATGTGAAAAATATTCAGTTTACAGCATTCTAAATTCAACAATGTTATTTCACTGTTGTTTGTGTTTCAGAGTAGTGCAATGTCGGGAGGGAGGAGGAGCTTCATTTCCCAGTTCCTGGACAACATCAAACAGGAAATCGCGAAAAATAAAGAAATGAAGGTAAGAGGATGAATCTGACCATTGTTGAGAATGCCTGATTTTGGGCAGATCAAGTCAAATCTGACCAGTCCTAGCTAGAACAGGAAGGCATTGTGTTATCAGGATACAGATGCTGTGCATGTTTTTGGTTGGTGATATAAGAAATGATCCTCAGTGTGAATCCTTCTGTTGCCTCATGTGATATTGAAGCAATGTGTAGAAGAGATGATTGCCCCACTCACACTGTACACTGGAGTTCAATACACGCCAGAATCCTAGACAAGATCTTAATATAAGCTTGGGCCCTGCACAGTGGAGTGCAACGCAAGCTGGATTCATGCACATTGAGTTCAACACAAGCTGGATTCATGCACATTGAGTTCAACACAAGCTGGGGCTGTACACAAGAGTCCAAGATGTGTAGAGGGAGACTGTGACACATACTGCTCCAGAAATACTGCTAATGTAACCCGGATGCTGATTCACTTACTAGTTTCCCTCTGGCTGGAACCAGGCAATTGCTGGATTTGTAAGTTGAAAATAGTGACTACATCAGTGAGACATACAGCACTTGTATGCGTTGATGTATGATGGGTGGATTGTATTCATGAAGCCAGTATATCTTTGAGAGAAAACAAATAGTAAACTGTTAGATGTTGCACATTTATGATACAGGTTTTACTGCTAATGTGCTGCAATGTTTCGTTCTCTAGGACAACCTGAAGAAGTTCAAGGAAGAGACAGACAAACTAGAACAGTCAGATGCTATAAGGAAAGCCAGACAAAAGTTTGTGAGTTGTCCACTGTCATCTTTTTATCACTGCGTGTGAGCTGTCCATTAGCACTGATAACTCGAAATCTGATTGCAACTGGCGGCTTTGTCAGCAAGTTGCATTATAGTATAGTAGCAACATTTGACATTTGATATTATGTAACAAAGTAAAGGTTTCTTCTCTCTTTCTTCATAGCATTGAATAAATTTAAAATTTAAAATGCTAAGGCATGGCGTACCCTCAAGCAAAGTAAACACACCACTTCGGCCCTTACATTAGACATTTGATATTATGTAACAAAGTAATAGGGGTGAAACGGTATACTGCGGTATTAGTTGAACCGCGGTATTTTGCCTTCGGTTCAGTATACCCTAATACAATCCAAACATTCGGTGTTTTCGTACTGTCATTTTATTCACATTTAAAACCTTTTCTAAATCGTCTTGAAATCGAATCATTTCATCAAAATCTATGCATTTCTTTGCTGGACGGCTGCTATTTTCCCGGAAGTAAGTTCGGGATCGCCCCAAGTCGTCTACTTACAAAGACAGCAAATGCAGATCAGTAGCTGGGTTCTATTTCTTTTTCAGTTAGTTTAAATCAGACGAACATTGGAACATCGTAATAACTTATAAACGACAACTTTATCACCAACACACTGCTTTATATATAGTGCGAGTAAACATACCATCTGAAAACGTATGATGGAAAAACTCATGATAAAACTATCTTCCTCGATCTCATTTTATTGGATTAAATTTAATCCCATTTTCATTCACAAAAACACTGTTTACAGTAATATGGGGAGCGGTGGGCGAGCTGGCTAAGGTGCCAGGCTAGTGATCCTTGGAGTCAGCTTGAGGTGTCAGTGTTATGGAGCCCACCTGTGACCATCCCTGTGCACTTAAAAGAACCCACGAATCCGTTGGCACATGAATACGTGCAAACACCCAGTTGCGGTTACAGCAACGTGCAGTGAACTTGGACAAAGTACTGTGACTATGTGTCCCAGTCCACCCAGCTGTGAATGGGTACCTCGTAAGGATGAGAAGGCCACAATAACTCGGTGTGCCTAGTGGCTGCAAGAGTTGTATGATCCCCAGGGAGTTGAGATCGATAACACGATGTGCCGTTGAGACTGACATCCAATGATCGAGGGAAAAAATACCAGCGCCTTGAGCAAGCACTAGTTGCCTGGATATGTGCGCTATATAAATATCATATAATAACATCGGAGAAAACGTGTGTGAAATGGCATCACCTCATTCTATACTGTACCACTTCCCATGTTCATAAGGGTCCGCTTTTCGCGCCTACCGTGATAGCACCAATTTCACATTATTGTCAGCAATCACAAACTAATCACCACCTCAACATCCATATACCCCTAGACCCGTGCTACTGACTCACTGAAGTCATGTTTCACAAATAATTGCCAACATTTTGTTTTTGCAATCAAAGTGGCATGCTCCGTGGGAAGTCAACGGTGACTTGTCAAACTGTCTCATACGTAAAATTATCCAGTCACGTAAGTGTTGAGCCTATGTTAATTATTATTTTAGAGTGAGTAAGTACGGTTTTACGCCGCTTTTAGCAATATTCCAGCAATATCACGGCGAGGGACACAGTATTATTTTACATATGTTCGTAGAAAACATGCATAGTACTAATACGATAGCAATATATATTATCTCTATTGAATAAACTGCTTGAGATATAAATTATTCTAGTAATGGAATAAATTCTTTGATGTTATATTTTCAGTTCGTTTTTGACTGAATCACCGGCAGATTGGAGCAAAACATTTGTACACAGCTGATTGCTATTTCCGGCTTAGTAGCATAACGGGAAGGAAAACTGAATTATCATGTGTTGTAGTGTTTTTATTGCAGGTTTCCTATAGCAGTACACATATCTATTTTCATTTTCAAAGTTTGTTTCTTCACCTCCGACGATACAATATAGTTTTGACTGGGCACAATACACGAACAGCAGTTTTGTTATGTCCATGGAATATACGATTTCACTTGGCCTTTATTCCGGGTTATGTATAACGAAAGAGGCAAGGGATGACTGCAATTATGGGTATGGATCTGGTGGCATTCCCATCACAGCCTTATGTTTGTTAGTTGTTGTTACCACAACACAATATCTGAACTGATCTCATTACAAGCAGTATCAGCACAATGAACATTTAACGACCAATAAAGAGAGAAAGCAGCCGAAAGATATTGAATAAAACAAAATTCTGGAATGTGTCAAGATTATGTACCAGTACTTCCCAAGGACTGTGGAAAGTCTATAAATGTTTAACATACTGAAACGAGAGGTAGACAATGATTTAGAACAATGACAATGATCAGTCATATACAGATAGTAATTGTCTTATGACAACTGTGTTGTGTTAATTTCTTTAATTTATTTATCTGTGATATGTCTTCAACAGAGTCACATTCAACAAGATCTGATTTGTGTATTGTGTTTTTAAAACATGAACATTTCTGGAACATAGTGGTGATTTCATTGCAGTATATGTTGATGTGATGTTAGTGACTTTTAATCATACTTGGCTTATTGCTATTTTGTCACACAGCTGTGAGCTCCAAGGTTCCAATGATACTTTCCTTCTTCTATCTAGTCATGAAAAATGACATTTTTGTTCATTCAAAATAGCATAATAGATTATGATTATTATTTCCATGTCATTAAACAATGTAAGGTTTACCTCTCATTGTCCATTTTTGAATTATGATCTTATCTCATATGCCGAACCGAAGGCCTTGTACCATGGTAAGAGCGTACCGTTTCACCCCTACAAAGTAAAGGATTCTTCTCTCTTTCTTCATAGCACAATGTAAGTAAATGTTGTCATGACATTGATGGCCTCTATTGTTTTGGTGTGCTTTACCAAGTATTGAAGTTGTGCTGATTGTAACATGCAACCAAATTAAGGGATCCATTGTTTGTGAATGGACATTGTGTTTGAGAGCTACCCGTGATGTTTGCAGGAGAACATTGAGTCCGAGACAGCAAAGAGCAGCCAGGTTTTGAAGAAGACTTTTGGCGACATCAAGGGGAAGATGTCTGATGTAAGTAAACAGGTAGCAGGGGACAGGGGTGGGCATAGACCTCAGGTTAACACAATGTGTGACATAGTTGCACATAGGGTGTGTGGAACAGTAGGGTAGCTCATTCTTGGCACTCAGGCCTCAGGAATCCCCAGGAACTTGATCAGCTTGAAGAAATGATCTGACAAATAAACTGTGTTCCTGTTCCTTATATGTGTTGTTCTGTCACAGACTCTGGATGAGGTAGGGAAGACGGAGTTTGTGAAGAAAGTGAAGGAGTCGTCTGGAGAGCTGGGAAAGACCGCCACAAAAGCAGCAGAGTCCATATCAAAGTCAGGGCAACAGATTGGGAAGAGCGCAACATTCAAATCTATTTCAGAGGTCAGTACTTTCTCCGTTGTCTTTCATTTGGACATATTTGTAATGTCACTAGTGGAAGGATTGATGGGACATCTGCTAACACATCTGTTTATGAGAATTATATTATGTACATTCTTTTCAGGGTGTGAAAGCTGTGAAAGAAGAGTTTGATGAGGCGGCTCTTTCTAGAGCCAAACATTACAAGGCTCCAGGTTTGTGCATTGTCTCAGAAAATTATAAGCGATTGGTTTCAGATTGGAAAAGATAATGAGATATCTCGTCTTATGTGAAACCTTTTATTATTTATTTACTTGTCTTCAGTCAGTAATGAATGGCTGTGTTATCTGTCGCTTAAGGACTTAAGGATATTTGTGCCTGTCTTGATGAAAATATGTTATAGTTGTGTTTGCTTAACTATTTGTTTGTTATGAGACATTGTCAACTTTCACGCTGAACATTATTTTCTACATTATGGAAAGACTACTGATATACCAAATGGTTTTTAACTGTTGTTGTTATGAGCAGAAATTAAATTCAGTATCACTAATAGCATTAATAGCATTTTTGTTTGTTCATTAAAAAAATGTTGGAATTATAAATTACTGAATTAGAAAATAACTACTTTTCATATCACAGAAAAGCTGCGGAAGCGGAGGGAAGGCATGCCAGGAGTTCCCAAGGAAGAGAAGACAGTAGAAGCTAATGAGTATGTTATGTTATCTGTCATGTTGCATGCATTGTAGGGAATAATTTGTCATGTTGCATGTATTTTGGGGAATAAATTGTCATGTAGCATGTATTGTGGGGAATAAACTGTCATGTAGCATGTATTGTGGGAATAAACTGTCATGTTGCATGCATTGTGGGGAATAATCTGTCATGTTGCATGTATTGTGGGGAATAAACTGTCATGTAGCATGTATTGTGGGGAATAAACTGTCATGTAGCATGTATTGTGGGGAATAAACTGTCATTGGTGTTAAACTGTCATGTATTGTGGGGAATAATCTGTCATGTTGCATGTATTGTGGGGAATAAACTGTCATGTTGCATGTATTGTGGGGAATAAACTGTCATGTTGCATGTATTGTGGGGAATAAACTGTCATGTTGCATGTATTGTGCGGAATAAACTGTCATGTTGCATGTATTGTGGGGAATAAACTGTCATGTAGCATGTATTGTGGGGAATAAACTGTCATGTAGCATGTATTGTGGGGAATAAATTGTCATGTAGCATGTATTGGCGGGAATAAACAGTCATATAGCATGTTTTGTGGGGAATAAACTGTTATGTAGCATGTATTGTGGGGAATAAACTGTCATGTAGCATGTATTGTGGGGAATAATCTGTCACGTTGCATGTATTGTGGGGAATAAACTGTCATGTATGTACTGTGCGGAATAAACTGTCATGTTGCATGTATTGTGGGGAATAAATGTCACGTAGCATGTATTGTGGGGAATAATCTGTCACGTTGCATGTATTGTGGGGAATAAATGTCATGTAGCATGTATTGTGGGGAATAAATGTCATGTAGCATGTATTGTGGGGAATAAATGTCATGTTGCATGTATTGTGGGGAATAAATGTCATGTAGCATGTATTGTGGGGAATAAATGTCATGTAGCATGTATTGTGGGGAATCCACTGTCATGTTGCATGTATTGTGGGGAATAAATGTCATGTAGCATGTATTGTGGGGAATAAATGTCATGTAGCATGTTTTGTTGGGAATAAATGTCATGTTGCATGTATTGTGGGGAATAAATGTCATGTAGCATGTATTGTGGGGAATAAATGTGCCCATGTCTTAAGGCAATAAGCGATAACTCTTATTTGTCAGGTTTTGAATCATTACATGAATATCATACATAGGCTACTTTCCTTCCACATATTTTCTATTAGTCCGTTGTTTTTGTTCACAGAGAAGCCACAGGGATGGTCTTACATAAAGATTCCAAGTGGTTTCAGAGTTGGCAGAACTTTAAAGATAACAATCCCTATGTACATAGTAAGTATATGAATGAATGGGGAAACCTAACTTTTCACCAGTATTCCATGATGATTTCATAGTGATCGTTATGTTCTTGTCCCCAGTCAATGGCTGTGTGATAATAAACCCTGTTAGTACAAGTAAACCCTATATATTTGCTGTAATGAAATGTCAGATACAATTTCTCTACTGCTAAAACACCCTCTACTCAATATTGGATCACCTATTTACCCATTCATTATTTCTGTTTTCAGAAATGTTTGATCTTAAAGTTAAGTATGATGAAAGTGATAATGTTATGGTGCGTGCAACTCGAGCTGTCACAGATAAAGTAGGATACTTGTTTGGTAAGTATCAGTTTTCAAGTGTTCCTCAGCATCACTAGATGCATGTTTGTGTTTATCACTATGACATGAATCACATTGGCAGTTAAACTTCATAGCTACCATTGTCTGCCTTTTCAGCCAGTTGCTGATGTATTTTTTTTATGAACATGTTAATGGCTGTATATTGAATGTTCAACGATTTATACATTTTAAGTGTTTTTCTGAATCTGTGTGTAATGAGGGATTAATTGCCAGACAAATGGACTGGTAGTCAAGTACTGTCGAAGTAGATCAAACCAAATACTACGCTGACACAAACTGGTCATGATCTCTACTTTCAATTGGTTTAAACTGAGGTATGCAGTTCTAGACAAGGTATCTAACCTAATGTTGCAGGTGGGGTGTTTTCTAAGACGGAGATGTCAGAAGTCCTCACAGAAGTTTGTAAAGTTGACCCCTCGTTTGATAAAGAGATGTTTGTACGACTATGTGAAAAAGAAATTATTCCAAATGTATTAGAGGTGAGTTAATTGATTAATCTCCACATCTGTCACCCACATAGGATATAGGTTTGTTGTACAGTGGCATGTAAAAATGAGCAAACTCTACCCAAACTGTCCACCATCTGCTAATTGTTACCCTTAAATGATTCCATGCTAATATACGTCTCAAGCACTGTATGATAACAAGACCTGATTAGATTCAGAATCACTCCCTGAGGGATTGCAGGTTAGGAAAGGTCTAAAAAAACTGTTTTGGTCATAAGAGGCAACCATATTGACCAGGTGGTCCAGCATGGTTGACTTTGTTGACATGGTTGCATGTCATTGTGACCTAACAGCATGAATCACTGCTCACAGTTTGAGTCATTGTATTGTCTGGTCCAGACTTAATTATGTACAGACCTTTCTGGGTAATACATTTAACAAGAAACAAATGAACAGATACTGAGGATGAAGTTTGTTTAATATATACGATGTGTGACCCTGGGTAGATTGGTTCATGACGACTTGAATCATGCTCATGCTGTTGACCTCTGGTGTGCCCGACCCACATTCAGTAATATACGAAGAACCGTTATACAGCTGCAATGTTGCTGATTGTGGTGTCAATCTCTGTCTCTACTTTCTACTGAGTATGTTCAGGAATTTCTATTGATACAATTTCAGGCCATGATACGAGGTGACCTTGACGTCCTGAAAGACTGGTGTCATGAAGGGGTAGGTTATCTGTCATTGTCAGCATTCTTCTGGACACTAGTGATTGGGTTTCTTAGAAACATTAATTACAGTACAAGATTTTTCGATACATTTTAAGGTGCAACAGACTAATCCTGCCGACAGCCTGAGTCATCATCTGAGAACCAACTGCTCTGTATTATACCATTGATGTTTTCGACATAGCTGTCTAGATTTCTGTCTCTGCTCTGAAAATATTGCTATCAAACGTGTTTTGCTTACTTTTTTCACATAGCAGAATTAATGGAAAAAGATGAAGTGAATTGTTGAGATATTGTCTTTATGATTCCTGTATTATTTCAGCCTTTCAACACACTATCTCATCCCATCAAACAAGCACAGCAGGCAGGATACAAGTTTGCGTCCAGAGTTCTTGATGTCAACAATGTAGATGTAAGTGGCACTTTCAAACTCTGCTGTTTAGAGAAAAACTATCCATTCACTATTTGGTAATACGTTATTATTTAGATGGCTGATTGTCTAACTAGGAATCTGGCATTCCAAAACTCTTCACTCCAACACACCCGAAACACTTCACAAGGACCATGCAATTCCTTACACATGGGTAGGGAGTCGTTTGGACTTTTCAGTGAAAGGTCAGATCACACTTTGGGCCTTTAGTATTGTTGTTTTTCAGTTTCCACAAGATTGTGTAACCTCTCTACTTGTGCTTTGATGCATTGTTTGTGATCAAACTTGAAATGCATTGTCTACAGTGTGACAACTTTCTGCACATGTTAGTGAAATGTTAATGATCTGCCCTGCACAGGGTGCCTTATCTCAAGACAACCAGGTATTAAGAAATCGAACCCAAACAATTGATTACACTGCTGATCCAGACCACCTGAGTTTAAGTTGCTGACCAGGGTGCTGTAGTAAAAACCGATCTTAGCGCTAAGGTGATCGTAAGTACAATACCTTAACATGGTCTTTTGATGGTTGTTGCTCTAAGGTCGTTTTGTGCAATATGCAAAGTTAAGAAATCATATGGATGCAGATAATCTCAGGGGCGGTCCAGGATTTTGGAGAAGTGGGGTGCACATAAATAATGAAGTCCAAAGGCTAGGGGGGATATGCTCCCCAGGGAAACATTTTTCGAGGGAGAGGGGCGGGGTGTGCACCCCCATTTGGATCTGCCCCTGAATCTGCCTGCCTGGCAACCATGTGTTGTGTCTCTGGTAACAGGTGCCCACTGTGTTTAGAGTATAGAAACTCATTCTGTAATGTGTTCAGATGAGTCTAGATTAACTATTGAGTTTTGGATAGGTGTGGAGGTATCAGGAGGCAGCATGACAGATTTAAGACTGGGTCTGTAATGATACGGGGTGGGGTCGCAGTCACCTGCTAGGTTAGCCGAACAGGCCAAGTGCTGCAAGATCTTGTTGGAACATTGCTTACTTGATATTTGGACATGGCCTGATTAATGATCTGATCTGCTCAAATATTCATTTATAATCTATTCAAATATTTTTTTGTTTACTACCCATCCCCATCATCTCTCTTGGTTGTTTGCACCAATATATTACACCACCAACATGTTCTGTGATTATCATGTTGCACACAGGCTTCTTGTTTCTTATCCACTCTTCAGTGTTACTCCATAACTTTTTTGAATTCCTGTAATCATGGTAGTGTGGGATACTTTATACATTCTTTGGAGAGTTTTAATTATGGAATGCTTTCCTGATACCATGTTATCAGGTGAGTGTCTAAATTACACCTTGCCTCGCATGTGTTCTCTTGTTAAGAAATGAGAATCTACTGATTCCAGTGAAAGCAATTTTAAATGCTGTTTTAATCTGTGAAATATTAAGGACTTTAATTGTGTCAAGATAATAAGCTACAGAAATATCACAGAAGTCATCTTCTTAAAGCAGAATATTTGAAGTCATCTTAAAGCGGATTATTTGCTGACATGAGATCAAGCCATGAGAAATATGTTGAAGGGAGATAACTCTGTCGCTACTCTCAGACATTTCATTTCTCGTTTCAATGATGAGTTGACTCATAGAGTCACTCCTTATTTCTCCAAGCAATGAACAGTCAGGCAGGTTGTGTTTTGTCTTCTAATGACTGGTCATTTTGCAGGTTGTGGCAGGGAAGATCATGGACCAGGGTCCCGTCTTGGTCATCAGCTTCAATGCCCAGCAGATCATGGTGGTCAAAGACAAGAAGGATAAAGTAGTGGAGGGAAACCCAGTAAGTGCTGACAGCCTGGAATGGTTGCTTGGATACTGGCAGCCTGATTATAGCGGTTGCTTGGATACCATGCAGTAGTCCGGATGACTAACTTGGTTCATGCATGTCATCATATCTAAAAATGAAAAATTTATGTTAATGAAGTTAATCACTGGATTGTCCAGTTTAGACCACTGTCATATAGATGGAATATTACTAAATTCAGCCTTAAACAAGAAACAAAGAAAATATTTTGTCCTCAAGTCTATACAATGTAGACATTTTCTGTCAGTTATATTCAGTTCCAAATTGTAGAAAAACTGAAGCATGGAGAACTTGTTCAGAATTTAGGAACTCCAGACAATGGATTTTGTACTTGTTCGATGCACAATTTATTTCGGGAATTTTGAAGGTTTATCACTAGTTATCGATGTGTGTGTGTGTGCGTGCGTGCGCATGCGCAGGTACACTAGTGGTTAATGCGTTCGCTTGTTGTGGCGAAGACCCTGGTTCGATTCCCCACATCTATACCATGTGTAAAGCCCAATTTTTAAACTTATTCTATCTCATGGTATCCACTTCTCTTTCTTATATTAAAATGGACTCCGTCCGTCCGTGCACATTTGTCTTTTCCGGAGCAGAACTCTAAAACCGTTCAATATTTCTTCATCAAACTTGGCACATACATGGATCTGGTGGTGTACTGGTGCCTTTTGGTAGTTTTGGAATTGTGAATTAAATATTTTTGGTGTTTCCATGGCAACAAGTTCGACTTTGACTGAAATTAGTGGTAGTGCTCTTTTCCGGAGCAGAACTCTAAAACCGTTCAATATGTCTTCACCAAACTTGGCACATAGATAGATCTGGTGGTGTACTGGTGCCTTTTGGTAGTTTTGGAATTCTGAATAAAATATTTTTGGCGTTTCCATGGCAACAAGTTTGACTTAGCCTGAAATTGGTGATAGTGCTGCTTTCTGGAGCAGAACTTTAAAAACCTTTCAATACTCTCCTTCCACTTTTCTATATACACACCTAAATATTTGACATAATCATAACTCGTAGACATAATCATGAAGAGTATTTTGCCATTGCGGGGGATATTGATGACTTTGTCTTCTTGTTGATTCGACACTGAGTGGAACGATGTAAACCTTTTTTCCTTAGGCCTCTGTTGTCCATCCGCCCAAGCATTCCATGCTACCCTCATTATAAGACAGCCTCCTAGCTCTCATGCAAAGCATGCGGCATGCACCACTAGCTGCCCAGAATCATAATTCTCTTTATTGTCGCACACGAGTGTGGACCTATTTTGTTTTGCTCAATGTTTTCAACTTAGTCTACAACATGGGGAAAGTTGACCAGCCAAAGAAGAGGAAAAAATGCTCCTGGTGTAATAAGTGTTCTCCGAGAGTGATTCACATGGATATTGTATTGACTGTATGGGACAGTGTAAATGGGACTCTCGTGTGATAAATGCAAGGTTTTACTTGGTGAGTACACTCGGGCTTGCGTTCGTCGTGTTGCTGACAGGGGTCGTTATGCCGCTTCACTTGACGGACCCAGTCCCTCCTAGAAAGGAAAGTTTAAGCATCCTACTTCCTCTGCTGCGGTCACAGTCCCCTCACTCGAATGAAGAGGATTTCATGAGAGCGTCGTCAGATTCTACTTATCGGAAGACATTCAGCATTTGTTGGGCTCTCAACATTCCAGCCCGAGTCCTTCGTCTTCGACCACGTCCTGGGTAGTGGTTGTCGAGACTGCCACCACCCCTCAGGATACCTCTACACAGCGGGACCTTTGAACTTTGCTCTCGTTCTCCGGACCAGTTATCTTGGCATCCTGGCTAAGCTGTTTCGGACAAGAATCAGCTGATCTTTACACCTGACTGCGCAGAAGCCGTTCTCGCTCTCATTCATCCAGTAGTGAGAGGAACCAGTCTACCTCGCCTCAACGCCTGTCAGTGGTTATTTCGCCGTCTTGAAGTGTGTCTTGCGTCCAGCTACCTTGAGCCTGCCAGATCGAATCACAGTTCGCCGAATCATGCTTCGCCTGTCCGCGCCCCTTCACGTCGACTTTCGCCGGACTTTCCACCCTCCCCAGAATTAGACCGGCTCTCTGCGAAACAGCTTTTGCCGAACTGGTCTTCATCGAAAGGCCAGTCTCCACTTCGGCATTATCTGGATCGATCGTCGTCTTCTTAACAGACTTCACTCTAATCGAACCGTTGAATCAACGCGTTCGCGAAATGGAAGACTTCACTGAAACGGCATGTGATGAACCGACTTTCGTCGATACGGCTTTCTTCCAAGCGGTATTCAACGCAATGCCCTTCTCCGGATCATCAGTGTACTTCCCCGAACTCTGTTGGATCCTACAGTCATGTCTCCTCAGCACGGACACGGCTTTCACCGGTCGTTTGGACCAGGCTCCTATTATTCTTCGATTTGTTCACGGATAGACCTGGTAGATCTACTTCACCGCCGTCATGCCACTCTTCAACTCGTTTGCATTCAACTAAGCAACACCTCCATCTACTTCGTTGAGATTGGTTCTTCGATCGAAGTCACCTCCTCAGACTTCGTCTTCTTGTCAGCATGCAACTTCCTCTTCTACGCACTCGACCCGTCAACCTAGATCTCCTACACGATCGACTGCTGCCTATCGTTCAAGATCCAGGGATCATCATTCTCGTTATGATACTTCTCCTCCTTGTTCCCGATCTCCTCATCGGGTCTCCATATGTGCGTCTTCTTCCAGTTCACGCCCCTCCAGACATCAATATGGTTTTACAGATAGGAAATCTACTCAACAGGGCTCCGATTATAGATCTCAGTGTGCTACAACTTCTGACGGGGCTCCTGCCTCCTCGCGTCTCGGATTGTACCAGATTCCTGGACTCCTGCGCAGGAAACTACTCCTCCCTCAGATCTGGCTGCGATGTTGAGTGCTATTTACTACTGCATGGAATCAGCAACACTCTGCTCCCTCGATAGGGACCGAATGCGCATTCAACGAACTAGCATTCGTCAACGAACCTAGGCTGCATCTACTTAATTGGCATTCACCGAACCAAAATTCACCAGACTGGCTTTCCTCGAACTGGAGATCTTTGAACTAGCATTTATCGAATCAGCAGTCACTGAATCGACGTTTTTCGACTTAACTAGCCATCCCATGACTCTCCGAAATCATCCAAGTATCATCGTCGAACCGGTTTGGCAGGCCGGTTCGCTGCGACATCGTCGAACCAATTCTTCTGCACAGAATGGCTCATCTCCTCCAATCCGCATCGCCGAACTGATTCACTACAACATCCCCATCCTAGTTAACTAGATCGATCTGCTCATCACCGAACTAGTTCGTCGGGCCAAACTGAGTCGCCGCACCAGAATCATAGTACCATTTCAGATCTTACCTCGCCGAGCCAGATCAATTAACCGATCCTGGTCATCGAACCGTGCCAGGTCGCAGATCCAACAGCGTTCGCCAATCCGACAGCGTTCGCCGAACCATCAGTATTCACCGAACTACCAGCATTGCCGAACCATGCCGCCTTTAAGGTACAGAAATAATGTTGGTTCAGTCGACACACATGGTCACTTGGTTACAGCTACAGCTATCAGGCTTAAGATCATACTCACTCACTCATCTATAGCTATCTTGAGCAAGATACCAGATGCTCTACTTTCTACATTCAGCTTGACGGATCGGAACTTGTCAACACTGTTTTATACATGCTCATCGAGGATCATGACCTTGCATCTAGATACGGTCAATTATACCAGCTGTTAATTAAACTCTACCAGCTTTCAACATGATGTTAATATTCTGGGCATTTGTGATACGCTGAATTCCTCACCACGGAGTGGCATGCTCTTAGCATGACCATTCGACTTGGTTCTCCGGGTTACCCTACGGCATGTGAGGCGCTAGAAGATTTTAGTCACATAACTTATCCCACCTGGTACCCCCTTTCTGCTGATTGAACAGATGAAGTAGCTCAGACATCTAGATTACGCCGGCACTTGACGCTCTGACGATCCCCGATCTCCCAGACTTAGACTACGTGACCAGAGCTCATATCATTCTGGATTTATCTACCTTCCGATCTTCACCTTGATGAATGATTTTGTTTAGGAATCTACCCTTTGGCGTAGATATCAGCTCCACAACCACTCGTCTGTGCGTTACTAGACAGGCTTGCTATCCAGGAATTTTTCCGACGCTTCACTGAGTCCTGTTATTACAAAATACTCGTAACAGCGTTATGGTGTAATCATGGCCTGTTTTGTCATCTTCATCACCCTTCCTTTTACATCAGCAAGCTTCTGGACAGATGGGTCAAGTTTCTGCTATCATCCCCTTGCCGAGATGTTACGGAGTTGTGCCTCGCACGGTTCACCGAAGACCGTGTTGTCCGGATTTTTGTCACTGTTGCATTGTGGGTACCATTTGCAAATTGTGGACTACCCCTTGTTTACCGGAGAATTATGATATTTAGAGTCACTATGAAGTACACTGACAGATCTTTCTAGGTCCTACAAGCGGATAACAATCCCAGCCTTTATTGCCAGTGACGATGAACAGTGCCATTCTCGGTAAGAGTGATTATGTCGGGATTCGTCAGCCAGTCGACAGAGAAAGTTCACCGAGAGTTACTCGGCTTTCAACTTTAGCCCAAGCCCTCAGTTCAGAGGTCACTGCAGTTCTGCTCGCATGGCCGCCATGCTACATTGATGATTGCATCCAGGCACAACAGGATTCATTCGTACTTCTTTGCCAACAGCAGTTCATCACCATGCTGCTCCAGCAGTTAGGGTGGCTATTGTACATTGTGGAATCGAAACTAACATCGATCCAGAGACCCCACTTCATCGATACATTGTTTGACACCAGTCAAGGGATGATGTTCACCCTTCAAGACAGGTGGATGAAGATCTAGCGATGTGTTGCTCCAGTGCTATCTCAGTGGCAGGTGCTACTAGGCTTTCTGACATCAGATCAAGCCCTAATGAACAGAA